TGGAATATAAAAAGTAACACAAATGAACTTATTTACAAAACAGAAACAGACTCAGACACAGAAAACAAATTTATGGTTACCAGAGGGGAAAAGGGGGAGGGATAAATTAGGAGTTTAGGATTTGCAAATACACACTACTGTACATAAAACAGATAAACAACAAGGACCTACTGTACAGCACAGGGAACTATATTCAAAATTCTGTCATAACCTAATGGAAATAACCTTTTCCTATAATGCAAAAGAATCTTAAAAAAAAACTATATATAACCAAATCACTTTGCTGTACACCTGAAATTAACACAATATTGTAAATCAACTCTACTTCAATTAAAAAATAAATCAATAAAAATAAATTTAAAAAAATTTAAGTTGCATCCAAATGAGTACTTTTTAAGTTTAATTTTGTATATTTGTGTCTTCTCTGATTGAAGGTTTATTTTTAAGTAATCCAACAACTGGACTTTTTTTCTTGTTCCTAATTATTATTTTTTGTTTTTTCCTTTATGAATTTCTTCCTCCTGCTTGTCTTGCATATACTGGGTTTTTTTTTTGTTGTTTTAAATGTTTGAACTGGATAATTTCTTCACTGATTTTAATTTTTCTTTCTTGGATCACTCCAGCTGTCCCCTTTGGTTTGTACAGGTAGTATTCACAGCAAAATTGTTTTTAAAATAGCATATAATTCCAACTTTCACTGGCTCACTTATCAAGTTATTTAGGAGAGAATTTCTGGTTTAAAGTGTCCCATGGAACACTCTTTTTGTTTTTTTCTTTTGGTTAAATTTCACTATTAACATCTAGGTTTACTTATACTATATTCAAAGAATTTAACACTCAATTCTTGCTCCAGGTAACATATTACAAGCCTCCTTGTACCATTAATGCAAAATCAATTTTTTAAGCGGTCTGTGGTGGATCAGAGAAAAGCATATTGTTTGTGTAATGCGTAGCATTTAAGAGTTACTTTATACATCATTCATCAGATGAATTCACTTGCATGTTTGCTTTATCTGTGAATTACAGAGTAGGAGGACTGTATAAAAAGAATTTCCCAACAGCATTCTTTCCATCTTCAGGTGTATCCAACAGGTCTAGTTTATATGCTTTATCTAACGATCACTTGGTCCATAAACAGTCATTACCAGCATATCCAAAATGTGAACTGTACAGTGACCTAGCACCCTTTGCCTGAATTCTGATACTCGGAAAACATGGCCTCTGCTTTTTGCTTTCCTTTGGGAGTTACCCAATACCTTGCTGTCCATCCTTTATGAAATAAATACTATTGGGTAATACAGATTCTTTTAAATGTGCATAGTTTCATAAACACATCTGCAACCATTATTTGCCACTAACATGAGGCTTTTGCTTGCTGCAGTGTGGATCGACCCAGTGCCAGTGGGGTGTCCCACTCAGAATGCGCTTGAGCACCGTGTCCTGCAGTCCCTCCACGCCAGGGTCTCCCCTCTCGCTCCTCAGACCCTCACACCCACGGACCTAAGGAGGACTCACAGTCTCTCATCACCGGTAGTAGGTGCAATGCTGAGGGGCAGGGACTCTAGCAAGCTGGGGTCCTGCCCCTGGGGTCTCGGGAAAGGGAGGAAGGAGTCAGTAGGACCCCCCCAATCCATGAGGGGTCACGAGCTTTCGCTGAGTACGTGTAAGAAGCTCTCGGGGTCCCACCAAAGCACCTGCCGTTTGCACTACCATCAGCCTGTCCCAGAGACTCAGGTCTCGGGACCCAGACAATGTGGTCAGCAGGACACCTCTGTTCTTTTTTTTTTAATTGAAGTAGATTTGATTTATAATGTTGTGTTCATTTCTGGTGTAGAGCACAGTGATTCCGTCATACACATAAATATGCATTCTTTTTCATTATAGACTGTTATAGAGACAGACTCGAGAGACAAAGAAAACAAACTTATGGTGACCAAAAGGGAAAGGCGGGGAGGGATAAACTGAGAGTTCATATATATATAAACCACACACACACACATATATATATACATATATATATAAAATTTTCCATTATAGGTTATTACAAGATATTGACTGGTTCCCTGTGCTGGACAGTAGGACCTTGCTGTGTATCTATTTTATATGCAGTAGTTTGTATCTGCTAATCCCAAACTCCTAATTTATCCCTCTCCTCCACTTTCCCCTTTGGTCACGATAAGTTTGTTTTCTATGTCAATGAGTCTGTGTCTATTTTGTAAATAAATTCATTTTATTAGGTTTTTTAGATTCCACATATAAGTGACATCGTATATTTGTCTTTCTCTTCCTGGCTTACTTCACTTAGAATGATCATCTCCAGGTCCACCCATGTTGCTGCAAATGGCATTGTTTTATTCTTTTTCATGCCTGAGTAGTATTCCATTGTATAAATATACCACATCTTCTTTATCCAGTCATCTGTCAATGGACATTTAGGGTGCTTCCCTGTCTTGGCGATTGTAAATAGTGCTGCTGGGAACACTGAGGTGCAGGTGTCTTTTCAAATTAGTTTGAGGAATCCAGGTATACGCCCAGGAGTGGGATTGCTGGATCATACAGTAAGTCTCTTTTTAGTTTTTTGAGGAATCTCCATACTGTCCTCCATTGTGGCTGCACCAAACTACAGTCCCACCAACAAGGACACCTCTGTTATTGATGCTCATCTGTCTCCTGTCACCTGGCCAGCCCCTCGTCCCACCTGGGTGATGGAACTCCTCTCCCTGGCTGATTCCCTACATCCAGCCTCTCTTTTTTTGGAGGGAGGGGTAATGAAGTTTATTTATTAATTATTCTTATTTTTTGTTTTTGTTGTTTTTAATGGAGGGACTGGGGATTGAACCCAGGACCTCATGCATGCTAAGCACGCTCTCTACCACTAAGCTATACCCTCCCTTCCCAGCCTTTGTTTTTTATGCCATCAAGAGAAACAAAGCCGTCTGTGTGCACCCAGATGTGCATTCCACAGAGCAGCAGGACAGCCATGCACCGCCGGCCACAATAACCTCCTCACACCTTTGTGGGAAAACATGAGACAGAGGACACACACTGCAGAGGAAACAGAAACCCAGTCCACCCATGGGAAGAGGTCACAGAGACCGATGTGAAGTTCTATGACTTGCAGGCTTCAATCTTTCACTTTCAGGACAGCTGCTTCTCAAAGTTCCCAACCCCCCCAAAAAGAACTGAAGTTATTTTCTGGAAGTCAACCACGCACCGTGGCAGACCCACCCCGCTCCTTCTAAGCACAATGATCAGGGGGTACTTTGCATGCTGGCCGGCCCAGGGTCCAGCCCAAGGACAATTCTCAGAAGCTCCTGCAGCGCAGGGGACCTGCTTCTCCAGGAGGAAGGATCAGGGGGCCGTGCCCGCGTCTCACCTGAGCAGCCTGGATACCTGAGGCGTGATCAGCACCACCAGCTTCCGGGTCGTCCTGTGGTTCCGCAGGGACTGCCCCAGCACCAGGGCCCCCTGGCAGTACATGTCGTTGGTGGCCAACGTGACAAACGCTTGGTCAGACACTGCGGGCGTGGATTAAACAAACAAAAACAAACAAACAAATAAGTAAATACGGGGCTATGTTCCCGACGGGGCTCCTGGGATGGCGGGGCAGACCGTCCCCTCTGCCTCTGTGAAGCTGCGTAACGCACACCGAGCACCTGTCCGGTGTTCTACAGACGTGCATCACGGACACCCTTTCATTTCAAAACAAAACAGGAAGCCACACCACGCACAGGGCAAGTGAGAGGAAAGCGGAGCCAACAAAAGCAGAGCAGGATTAAAATTTCCCGGCGCGGATTAGCAGGTGCCAAACTACCATGTATACAAAAGATAAACGCCGGGAGCTACGTTCAGTATCTCGGAATAACGCATAACAGAAAAGAATTTTAAAAACATAGATACAGCCAGATGTATGTGTAACGGAACCACTTTGCCGTACACCTGAAGCTAACACGACACTGTAGATCAACTCAACGTCAATTAAAAAAAAAAATTCCTGCTTAGCATGCATGAGGTCCTGGGTTCCATCCCCAGCACCGCCATTAACAACAAACAAATAAACATAATTACCTCCCTCGAAAAAATTAAAATAAACGGGATGATAAAAAATAAATAAATAAAAAGAGGGGGGGGGAAAGCCTTGAAATGTGTCCAATCTTTTCATTCTTTAGGATGTCTGTAGTGTACAGAAACGTCTGATTGCAAAGAGCTGGAGTTTTTCCTTTCCTACTTTGATTTTTTTTAAACGACCACGCCGGGTTCATCTGTCATGACATTTTGTCTTGTAACCTAACTGCTTCTATGTTATCCGTGGTGAGTGGATGGTCTTTATGTATTTTTTTTTATTTTATTTGAAGTATAGTTGAGTTACAATTCCCAGCATCCACTGACTTTCACAGGGACTTTAAAACAGTTTGATTCTGGCGCCTCCAAGAGCTGGTTGCCACGGTAAAAATCAACACGACCAAGAAATCCCGCCTGGTCCCGGCTCCCGTGCTGTCTCAAGAAATTAAAATTCGCAGGGTGTCACTCAGGGCCAGGACACACAGACCTCAGTTCTCAAAGGCCAGCGCGTCCTCCCCTCTGGGCCACTGTGCCCTGCCCGGGAGACGTGCTCAGACTGAGGCCAAGAGACACGGTCGCCCAACGGAACAGGAGGAACAGAAGCTTCCCGGGACCTGCTTTCCTGGCGCTGACGTCTTAGCCTTCACAGCCCATTGGACTGAGCTACCAAGTGCACCTGCCACAATGGGCTCCTGTCCACACGTTGCTGGGTTTATTCTTGGGTGAAGAAGGGATGAGAATTCTTGGCATTTCAACCTTGAGTTCAGTATTACAAAGCCACCTTCAGAACTCAAGTCTGCAGCCCAAAAGATATCTGTCTGTCTGTCTGTCTATCTACCTATCTATCCATCTATTTATCTATCTATTCATCCATCTTATCTGTCTATCCATCCATCTAATCTATCCCTTTTATCTATCCATGCATCCATCTAACCAGTCTATGAATCTATCTACCCATCTAATCTATCTATCCATCCATCCATCTAATCTATCCATCAATCCATCCATCCATCTAATCAATCTATCAATCTATCTACTTACCCACCTATCATCTGCCTATCTCTCTATCAATCAACTATCATCTCTCATCTATCCAGTTTTTCTGTTTTTTAAATAACAGGTTTATAATGACATAATGTTGAGTCTCCAGGGACATGGATATTATTGCAGCAAATTGGGAGAAGACAATAATCTGACAGAAAATGCAAGGACTTAATTAGTTCTGTCACAAGGAGTTTGAGGTGCGGGGGGACGTCCAGGTGGAGGTATCCAAGAAAGAGGTCTGGATGGGAGCTAAGACCGGGGTCCTCTGGAGAGCTCCCAGTGACAAGAGACACCCAGGACCAAGACGGACCACCCACTGACCGCTGGCCATCCCGAGAAGAGGAGGGTGCACTGAGTCGGCCCGAAGCAAGGGACGGGGGGCTATCTAGTCAAAATGGTAAAGTCATCAAAACCCAGTAACTGCATACACTGGCTTTGTAGCTCTCCATAAGGAAATAAACGTAACTGCTCTAATCAGATGCCAAAATGCATCTGTTGAAGCCTAACCCCCAGGACCTCAAAGTGACTGCATCTGGAGATGGGGTCTTTAAAGAGGTAAGTTAAAATGAGGTCTCTAGGTAGACCCTAACTGAACAGGATGCACGTCCTTACAGGAGAAGATCAGGACCCAGACACATGCAGAGGGACGCCCATGTGAGGACCCAGGGAGGAGATGGCCGTCCACACACCAAGGGGAGAGGGCGCAGGAGACACCGGCCCTGCTCACACCCTGACCTCAGATCCCAGCCTCCAGGACCGGAGACATGAATGTGTGCCGTGCAAGCCGCCCAGCTGTGAGATTTGTCCAGGCAGCCTGGTAGCTAACGCAGTGACTGGGAGCGCAGGCGCAGTCCTGCCGTGCTCACTCAGGGCAAGGAGGCATGGCGATCACCCAGAGATCCCTGGAGTCTTGGCTCCGCGTGGAGCAGCCCTGGTCACGCCGAGAAACCACCTTTCCCCATGCCTGACAGTCACACCACTGAACTGTCTACAGAGGTCAAACCGAACCCACTTGGACTGGATCTCCTTAAAGAGAACTCCCAACAGAGCCAAGGGAAGAGTTCACTCACTGGGGAGTTATAAAACCAGACACCAGAACAATGACATGTCCAACCATCTCGTGCTTCTGACCCATTTCCCGTAGCCACATCGGCTGTCTCGGCACAAGAAACGGCAACGTCTAAGGCAGAGGGAAGCGGAGAGGTCCTGGGGGCGGGCAGAGGGAAGCACCACGGCCTGTGGACTGAGGCCCAGCCTCCGGGAGGTCCCTGGGGACTCCGATGGCTGAGGCGTGGGGAGGGAGGGAGGGTGGACCACAATGGGACAGGCAATTGTCCAGAGCTTCTGATTGCTGCGGAGGAGAGACTGGGCCGAGTCTACGTGGTGGGTTTTGTGCAACCACTGGACTTCCCTTTCGCTTCAGATGGATTACAAGTCATATTAACCTCACAAGGTCTCCTCTGTCTCCAGTAACCCCAAGACTCAGCCTCATGTTTTGTCAGAAAGACACACGCCTCCGAAGGCTGGTCCCCAGGGGCCCATGCGGGACGTTGCACCATCACGATGCATAACCTCTCCCTCACCAGCGCAAAGACCGGCCAGTGGATTTTTAATGCCAAAACTTCACGGATAGGTCTTCAAATCTCACATAATCTTACCACTGAGAAACACTCAACAACCCAGTCTGGCATCAAAGAACAGCCACCATGATCCAAGTCTCCCACGTTTAAAGGCTGAGTTTGCACTCAACACCGGCGCTGGGGAGAGGACATTTGGCACCGGTGTGGAGTGGCGAAACTCCAACCCCCAGTTGAAAAAAAAAAATGTTTTTTTTCGCAAAACCAAGTTCATCCTGAAGTCTGAGGTGGCAGACATTTTTATGACGGATCTGGGAAGAAATGTTCCTTTCTGTTCCTCTCCTGTCCTCTCTGTGCCACCCGTCTTCCAACCTCCACACCCCAAAAATAAATAAAGAAAATGAAATAACATTGGTGGCTTCCTCCGCTCCCCCTCCTCTTTTGCTCAAAGGTATTTTTTGTTTCCTGCAGAGTGTTGAAAGCCCAGATGGGCTGTTGCAGCACACCACAGGGCTGATGGCAACGTGTCCTGATGTCCCTCGCTGAATGCCACCGTTATACCAGCCCTGGTGGGTTTGCGGGGAACGTGGCTTTCCGGGGAACGTGGCTTTCCACTCTGGAGATCTCCAAACCCCTCCCTGGGACAGAGAGACCTTTCAGCTTCCCCTCGGAACACAATCTTAAGCATACGGCAGGTAATCGACCCCCTCTGCCCCAAAATTTTCCTCTCTATGGCAGAGAGCAGGGAAAAACAGCATGGAAGCTGCTCGGGGATGTACCAATGGTTCGTCTTAATAAAAAGTAACCCAATTCTTTTTTTAATGGTAAAAACAGGACCAGCACCTTTCCCAAGGGTGGTGGTTCCATTTCACCATCACATCCCTTACCCTCAGAAGTCGTGTCCAAATCTGACATCCTCAAAACCCAAGGGCAAGGGAGACAGGACTGAATTTCAGCCCTTGGGGGCCAAGGACTTGCGGAAGTCCCAGCCACCTGGCCAACTGCCCTGCTGGGGGATTAACCCTGGGGCTTCACTGGAATAACAAATTACACCTGGGGTCTGACCTCGGGAGGACGAAAGGATCTGGCCTCCCAGAGTTTTGGGGGCAGGAACTTCCCGTGGGTCCGTGTGTCAGTGAGACGCACACAGCTCCACGACTGCCAAGGGCTACTTTTCACGGAAGGAAAATCACCGAACCTCAGCGCCCTTGGCCTCACTAAAGACCGCTCCCTCCCCAGCGGCCCACATTTCCAACCACACGTGGGGACACCAGCCTCTGCTGCCCCAGGCGGGGATACTGGGGAGACACACACTGGGAGAGGAAGGGTCTGGGGCCATCTTGTGCGCACAAGGGTTCCCCCAGCGCACACCAGCCTCCCTGGTGCCAGCAGGAACAGGGAGGCAGAACACAGGAGTATTCACGGACTCACCCGGCATGGTCTGAGGCCCAGCGCTCAGTGGGCACCGAGGGGCCGAGTGTGCCGGCGCGCGGCGGGGGGACTCTCCGGCCGGGAGCCAGGCCCAGCAGAGGCGCTGTGTCCGGGGGACCCGCGTAGTTCCAGGCCTGCGGGAGACAGCGCGGCATTCCAGAGCCCCGCGGCTGCAGCCCGCGCCCTGCACCGCCCTGCACGCCCTGCCCCCACCGCGCTCAACCCCGGCCCTCCGCCTTCCCCGCGCGCGCGGGCAGCCTCTGTCCTCCGACCCGGCTCCCCCTACCTGCTCCCCTACCTGGAATCACCTGAGACCCCGCTGCGCCCCAGCTGCCCCTCACCACACGTCCCCGCGCCCCGGGGCAGCCCTGGCCGCCCGAGTGTCCCCCGAGGCCCCGCAGCGCCCCCCGCCCCAACTCCCGACTCGCTCCGGAGTCCTTTGTGGCCTCGCCGCGTCCGGCCCCTCCTCTGCGCCCTGGGCAGCCTCCGCCCCCTCTGGCCCAGGGGCCCCCCACCCCCGGTGACTCCTTTCACGCCTCGGCCACCACTGCGCCCCGCACGTCGCCCTTCTTCCGCGCTCCAGCAGCCTGTGCGCC